TGTTAAAGTAATCTCGGCACTAAATACTCATTTTTCGTTAATTTTGAAACAGTGAAAAAGAAAGTAATACACGCAAAACCAGAGAGTTGTTTGCTACTTTTGGTACCTGCACCACCTATGTGATACAAAAGTAAGACATTCAAACTTGCCTTCTGTGTGTATGCCTACTTGCTTTTTAATTTTATTCCTAATAATTGTATGTATAACTAGCTTCCAAGATCAGTTGTGGCTGAGTAATCCGAAGGCAAGCACAAACAACGCAAAGACCAACAGCCATCGCACTTAGAAGCCGTTCAAAAGAGGCCCAAAAGTCGGGGATGTCTACGTCGTTATCTCTTCGTCCTGCTCCATCGGCTTTAGGGTCTTTGTCAAGCATACGAACGGAAAATCGTTATGCATTATGCTTACCATGTTTTTTTTTTTTTTGCCATGGATTCATATTTTAGGACTATAAGTAACATTGTAATCCTAAACCATTCTCATTTTCGAATGAAATATTTACCTTTTAGCAAAAAAAAATTGTATAACTAGCTAATTAGTTTGTTTGATACTCAAAAGGTCAAAAAGTTAGAATTTTTTCCAACTCGGAGAACTCTAAGGTACAAATGTGAGATCATCTTTTTTAATCACACAAAAATAATGTGCTTCTTTAATCCTCAAAGAAAATGTGTGTGTGCGTGTGTTTTTTTATACATTTATAACGAAGCAGAAGTTGGGACATTTGTCTTCTTTTATGGGTTATAGTAATTTCAAAACATTATTTAAGTGTAACTTTAGTCTTTCGAAATCTAAACAAAAAGTGAGTTAAAAAAAAAAAAATACTAAACCTAAAACTTTAGTGATATATACAGAACCATCAATCCTTATATCTACAAATACTTACCAAACTGATTAAAAGATGTCATGTTGTTCTGCAATTTACCATCAAGATGTGTGTGTGTTCCAAGTTATGTGTCTCTCCTTCTTGAGCCAAGATGCTTTGTAGATACGGTCCAATTTCTGGATATACTGAGACGTCGCTCATGTGTTGAGATGTGATCGAGTTAGTTTGGGTCTCAAGGAATGCTTGACTTCCAAGTAACTCCCCTGTGTTTCTCATTTGGCTTTCTTCTTGGATCACCGAATTATTAAACTGTGTCTCGCTAATATACCTTCCAATGTCATAATGCTCGTTGATCGGTTGAGACAATGGTTGGGTAACTTGAGTCCCATGGAACTGATTGGCGATGCTATTGTGAAGATTGTCTTGAACAAATGAGCTCATTTGCCTCCCATCATTAGCGTTGTACTGAGTTGCCGTGTTAAAGTTTACTTCTCCTACTCCCACATGACCAAATCCTATCAAATCAATGGGTTTTTTTTAATACACACTAACATATATAATGATATGCTTAAGGTTCAAAGTTAAGAACCTTGAGAATAGTGATGATGAATGTCATTGTTAACGTTGAAGCTAAGTGCCTGGTCGTGGTGGTTGTAGTGAGACAAGTTACTGCTAATGTTGTTCTTGTTGCTGTTTCCATGACCACTATCGAAGTAAGGATCTTCTAAAGATGGGAAATTGACTTTGATGAGTTCTGACCAGAAGCTATCGCTGGACAAGAGCTTCTCCAAGTTCTTTTGTAGAACTCCAGGAGCAAAATGAAGTGTATGTCTCCTGTTATATATAAATAAATGCGAAGCTTAATTCAAACCACTTTCAATAGTACTAAAACTAAAAATGGAGGATCAAAGATAGGGAAGCAAACCTGCATTTAGAAGCATATTGATCTTGAGTGAAATCTTGATCCATTTGTTTCCATTGTGTATGTCTTCCTGCTTGTGGATTAGTCTCTAGGAAAAATGTTGGACGTTTACTCAACTGCTCATAAGCATACTCACATATCATTAGGATCAAGCTTTACATCAAAAATGTGTTAAAACATATTAAAGTATGTATAGTAGTACCTCGACTTGGAGGATTCCGGTTTCATCATGTGAATGAAAAGTGGGTTTAAAAGACAAGACATGAGACCATTGTATCTCGATCTTTCGCTTAAGCTTGGCCACGCGTGTCTCTGTGTCTACATTGTCGAGAAACTCCCACATAAGTTTCTTCTTCGCAAAGTAGAACTTCGCCTTAAGATCATCAGGGTAGACCGCAATGCGGGTCCATTGACCAATTGTGATCTTGGAGATTGGGAAATTCATAGCCTTTGGTTTTTCGGTACTTTTAGGAGTTTCATCAGGCAGTTTTTGTTGACTGAGACATAGGTAGTGTTGTTTGATGTTAGGTTCTATAAAGCTGATGAATTCCGTAGTTGTTGTTAGACGCAAGTTTAATGGTGGTAATAGAACCTGAAAGAAAAACAATGCAAGATTAAAAATCATAAACTTATATATCTCTTCTCTTTCTTCTTCTAAAAAGCAAGAAAGTTATCGTAAGATCAAGAAGAAACAATTTTTTGTTGTTGTGAATGAATATGAATTAGATTTAAAAATTGGAAACTTAAACCCTAATTCTTCTCCAGGTCAGTTAAAAACTAAGCTACA